CCACAATGATACTCACAGCACATGCCGAGGGCCGCAACTTAAGTGTGGTTGCATACGCATGCAAATATATGCAAATAGCTTCTTTCACACTGACGGGCATGAATACAAAGCACTTCCTACAAGGTCCCTGCACTCCCAGCACCTCCTCCCTGGGGGCTAGAAATGCCGACACCCTGTACCCATCTGTTCCAGCCAGCCCGTCTGCTTGTGTCTTTCAATGCTCACCCCGCCTGGGAGATGCTTCGCCATTGTGGAGCATGTTCCCAGGGGAGGCTATGTTCAAAGGATCCTACCTGCGGGCCCCACATAAACCCAAACCGCACTGCGGGACACAAACATGGGCCGTGTGTTGAGTAGCCCAGTTCTAGATATTATTTTCTGGACTAGCTCACCTGGATGAGATGAATTGTTCTAAAGATGCCCATTCTAGAATGCTCCAGACTCAAAGGTTGATTCCAGGGGGTCTTGTTCTAAGCTGCTCCAGACTATAAGGAGAATGATACCCAGGCTAGGTTGATGGGTCTAGGTGGCTTTTTCTGACTGGATTAGCAGTGTTGTTCTGGATGACCTGTTCTATATTGTTCTGGACTAGCAAGAAAGCTCTAGATGGTGTGTGCTGACATAACAGTTTCTATATTTTCTGTTTCCCTGCCAGTACCTCAGCCGTGATGCTGAATTGCCTTTAGAGGATTCTCTGATGCAATCTGGAGTCATCTTCCAGTCTTGCCTTTCAGGGCAGAGTGTAGGAATTGGAAACAGCTTCTGTTCCTGGTTCCAGTGCAGATTCACAGGATAACCTGGGACAAATCACTTTTCAGCTTGCTGTGGCTCAGTTTCCCCAGCTGTAAAATGGAATAAGGCTTCCAATCTCCTTGGTAAAGCACTTGGAGATCTATATAGGAAAAGAGCAACACATTATAATTACATAGTGCTTTGAGATCCTAAGAGGGAAGACGCTAGAAAAGTGTAGAGTGTGAAGATTAAACAAGCACAAGATGCTTGTCAGGGTCTCAGGAAGTTTAGCAGACCCTGCTAATGCCGTTAATGAATATCAGGCAGATATTCATTTAATTCCATTTTTAGTATAGTTTTCTTAGTAGGAGCCAAAATAGCTGAATTGTTGCATTGTTATAAGTTGTTATTTGTATTGTGGTGGTGCTTTGGCACACCGATCACGAACCAGGATCCCACGTGCTAGGTACAATACAGAACAAGACAGTCCCTGGCCGAAAGAGCTTCCAATTAAGTATAAGACAAGAGACAACAGCTGGATACAAACAGTTCAACGGGGGAGCACAAGGAAACAGTGAGACAGTATTGGTCTGCAAGTGATGCTGGCATCAGGCTTTTTGTGGTCAATGCTCTTAGTGCAGCATTGTAGATTCCTTTGGGCCTTGTAGTTTGCTCGTAATGAGGAGGGTGGAGGGTCAGTGGTAGGTAATACTCGGAGGGCTAATGGAGTTTTATTGGTCTCCTGTTATATACTTTATTTCCAGTTCTCTAAAGGGGACCAATTTCTCATTGAAATGTTGGATGCATCAGGGATGGCGGGACTGGGGTAGGAGAGGGCTAGCATCCCTGTGATGGAAATATTGGGTCAGAGGGAAGAAGCATCTATGTCCACCACCACCACAGTAGTCTACCATGTTCCTTTAAGTTGCTCAGACATGTGGGCACTCTCCTTCCTTGGAAATACTCCTTTCAGGTGGGCAGCATGTGACGTTCCCTCTAAGTTTTTTCATTCGTGTGTGGAATAAATTTTGTTACATGCTCCAAGGCATGTGTGGATGTGCACCACCAGGAGAAACTCATGCTGCTGGCTGTGGGTACTCAGCTAATCAGCTGGTTGGCATTGGAATCTCTCCTGGGTGGCTGCCCAAGCGCTCATTTTACAGAGACCACTGGCATCCTGGCCCCTCAGTGCCTGGGGGGACTAGGCTGATGTGAAGGCCAAATCAATGTTCATTCCCCTTTAATGCGACGCCTCTAGGTGCTCCAGGGTACCCACGGTGAGTAAGCACCTATCATAAAGAGCTCTGATGAGATTAATGCTCTGTGGATGGAGCACGACCTAATTCTTTAATCCAGATGAAAATTAGAACGCGAAGCTCCATGTCTGAGAGAGATGCAGGAATTCTCATCATGTCAGTGGGCCAGATGCCATGCTGGTGTAAATGGGCTTGGCTCCATGGACCAGAACCTCAACTGGTATAAATCAGCATCATTCCCTTGAAATTAAGGGAAATTAAGGGAAATTTACACTGAGGCCCTTTACCTCTGCGGTTGACATGACTTTTGCCATCAGTGTACGTGCATCCATTGAACCTCCAGGAAGGGTGTTAGCTTGGGAGGGTGGGGTGGACACCAGTTCCTCCAGCCTCTGATTGAGAAAGCGTTTGAGATTTGGAGCCAGGTGCACAGTTGGTGTAAATCAGCATAGCGTCATTGGCGTGATACTGATTTACACCGGGAAGGGGATCCGGTCCCTGAATTCCAGCGCAGTTACGCTGATTTACAGTGGGTGAGGTGGGCGGGCAGGGGGGAGGGTCTGACCATCCTTTTTTATGTACAGTCGCATGAAGAAACAAACATCCTGAGGCTGACAGGGGCCAAGTGCCATGTGACGGTTACCATGGTGACAGAAAGCTTTCTGACAGGGTCTGTCTCTGGGTGATGCAATCCAGAGCTGGAGTTTTTGTTCTGTAATAGCAAAGCTTTTATCGCATACAGTGGTTGCCGGGGTGGGAGGGGAGGAGGGAGATATTTCTCTTTCAGCCCCTTTGGCAGCAATCTGAGCTCCTTGTTGCATTGTTGTTGTTGTGCTATTGCGTGTCTCTCTAAAATTCTGGGGCCACCCCCAGCCTTTCAAAAGCAAAGAAATAACAGGCAAGAGGACAATAACTCAAAAGGAAAGGTCACTCCATCTTAAACAGGTTGAGTGGGGATGGAGTGGGGGGTGGGTAAGAGGAGAGGAGACGGTGGAGGGGGATTTAATGAGGCTTCTTCCACGCACACCCTTTATTGAACTAAATACTACAGTAATTACCTGTCCATTGGTCTGTCTATTTATCTTTAGAACCGGAAGGGACTTCGAGAGGTCATCAAGTCCAGTCCCCTGTCCTCACGGCAGGACCAAGCACCATCTAGACCATCCCTGACAGGGGTTTGTGTAACCCACTCTTAAAAATCTCCAGTGACAGAAAGTCCACAACCTCCCTAGGCAATTTATTCCAGTGTTTAACCACCCTGACAGTTAGGAAGTTTTTCCTAGTGTCCAACCTCACTCTTCCTTGCTGTAATTTAAGCCCAGTGCTTCTTATCCTGTCCTCAGAGATTCAGGAGAATAAAATTTCTCCCTGCTACAAACTTTTAGGTACTTGAAAGCAGTTATGTCCCCTCTTACTCTTCTCTTTACTAGACTAATATAAATAACTTTAAGATTTACCTGGCATTGCTCAGGTCCTTCTTAACACAAAAATTTGGGCTTTTTTTTTGGAAAATAAAAATAAAATGTCCATGCTTCATTTAAATCATTGCTCTTGGGTGGGGGTTCAGTATGCAGGCTGCCCTGGGGAGAGAGGACTGCCCCGGCCCTCTCTTCCCCAGCTGGGGCAGGTCCAGGTTCCTCTGCTCTCTGCCGTCCTCAGCCACAGTGAGGAATGCAGCAAACGGTGCACTTTCCCCTCACTCCCTGTCTGTGTCTATACTACAAGCCTCTTCCGCAAGAGGAAATGCAAATGGAACGCTCATTTGCATAGGTCGTGCTCTCATTTGCATTTCCTTTTCAGATCTCTTTTGCGCAAGAGGTGTTTGCACAAAAAAGAGCTGGGTAGATGGCTCCTTTTTGCACAAAACCCCCATTTTTGCGCAAAACTTCCTCAGTGGCCACTCTCAGTATCACATCCCTCCTCTCTCTGCCCCTCCCTTTCCATGTTATGGAAAACAGTCCCATTCCTGGCACTTCTCATTTTCTCCGTACAAGCAAACCCTGACTTTGCTTCAAGCTAGGATAAAAGGAAGCTGACTACCAAATTTGGTGGTCCTAACTCTTAGCATTTAGGAGGTGTTCTTGAACAGACACTCTCAGACAAACTTGCAGACAAACAGATTCACAGACAGATGCACAAATCTCTAAAATTATATATATAGATATATTAGTATTATTTAACATTTATATTGCGATAGTGTCTCAGGGTGGGCTAGCATTGGGGTTACAGTATACTAAGTGCTCTACATACATAGGAGCTTCTGAGAGGAGAGAGAGAGAGACCCAGACTCTCATATAGCAAATTTCATTGGTAGATCTCAAAGCATTTTAAAGAAGAGGTCAGACTTTTGTCCCCATTTTACAGCAGCTGTGAGAGCAAACTATATTATCCACATTGCAGCATTACTCAGGGACCACAAAAACCACCACCAACAAAACTAGTCCCTGCCTCAACTTCCTTCCAGTCTAAGTGGCTACACGCAAGCAGACTGGGCTTACTGGAAAACCCAGGCATCTTGGCCTCCTCGCCCAGCTCAGCAAAATGCCATTTGTTTTTCATGGACCTTTTTTATTTTAAATCTTTCTTCCAAACTTGCCTGTGAAAATTCCCTCCCCTCCCTTACCGGTAGCAAAAAGGAACAGGCAACAAAATGTTGTCTTTGGGGGAGGGTGACGTAAAGTAGATTTGTTTTGTATTTTTGGGTTTTACACTGCGAAAAACCAAACTGATGCAAGTGAAACCACAAAAATGATTGTTGTTGTTTTGGGTGGGGTGGGGACACCCTTTTGCCCTAAAAAAATAGTGTTTTGGGGCAGTTTTCCACAGTGACTAGGTGCCAAGGGGCCAGATCAGCTGGGGCCATGATGCAGTAGCAGAGGGGGCAGGGCAGTGGGGGTGGAACGTGCTTTGCAGGGGAAAGGCCTTGGAGGACTCAAACTCTATGGTTTAGACGCTCGGGTCAATTTCTCCTCTATGATTCATCGCGAACCCAGAATGCACTGGGGTGGGAGGGGTGGTGAAAGGTTTTACTTCCGGGAAGATGGCGGCTGCCAGGCAAGGCTGGGCAGGCACGTGGTCGCGGGGAAGGAATCTTGCGTGACTGTGAGTGGAGACCCGAAGGGGCTGGAGACCCTGGGGCGGGAGGGGAGCTGACACCGTGGGGGGGCTAGAAGTGGGGCACTGGAGGGTGGGGGCTGGAGAGCTAAAGGTGGATTGGATGGGGCTGGACCGGTAAAGGTGGGAGGATTGGATGGGGGGCTGGAGAGCTAAAGGTGGATTGGATGGGGCTGGACCGGTAAAGGTGGGAGGATTGGATGGGGGGCTGGAGAGCTAAAGGTGGATTGGATGGGGCTGGACCGGTAAAGGTGGGAGGATTGGATGGGGGGCTGGAGAGCTAAAGGTGGATTGGATGGGGCTGGACCGGTAAAGGTGGGAGGATTGGATGGGGTACTGGTAGACTGGAGAGCTGAAGGTGGGAGGTGAATGGGGATCTTAGAGATGGGGGCTGGATGGGAATGAAGGGGGAGGACCTGGTGGGGGTATATAGCCTAGGGGTCAGAGGGAGGGGGATGTGAAGTGTTGGGTGTTGTGACCTGGCTCCTCTTGTTCTGCTTTCCCTGGAGTTGATCTGTCATACAGAATAGTCAGCTCAGTGGTGGCCAACTGTTCACATGGGATGGGGGGCACTGGAGGGGGCAGATGTTACCTTTCCTCTGATTCCTTGCAAAGAACCCACTACAATGGAGGTCAGTATCATTGTCCCCATTTTACAGATGGGGAAACTGAGGTCCGGGCAGATGAAATGACTTTTCCAAGATCACCCAGCAGGCCATTGGCATAAGTGGAACCTGAGTGCTAGTCATCTATGCCATGCTGCTTCTAAGCTTGTCAGCCTTTGGCAAAGGGTGCTATTCAGTGCAAACGTGCAGCCTTTGGCAATGGGTGCTATTCTTTTCAGCATGTGTAATTTTGTGCCACCTTTCTGTGATAGAGCGATGCACAGGGAGGCATGGAAGCTGTAGGATTCAGTTAAAATCAAGTTTGGGAAGAATCACCCATGTCCATCATGAGCGGCTCCCCCCAAAAAAAGACCAGAGGGATGAAGTTTGCAGAGCAGCAGTTACAGAGACATGGCTGGAAACAAGGTACAGGCTTGACGTGTCCAGAAATCAAGTGCATGAAATACGGACTGGTCTGGAGGTGGCTTAGGGAGCAAAAGAACTCCCATCTCCCCATACAAGGACCAAGGGGGACACAGTGCAATTTAAAGGTGTGACATTCAAAACTGTTACATGCGAGTAACTTGTTCATACAACAGGCCACTGGAGTGCAGAACTGTCATTAAGGCTCATATTCAAAGAGGAATTTGTGTGTGTATGTAGACCAGGGGTGGGGAACCTAAGACCTGGGGGCTGGATGCAGTTCCTCAGCTTGCCTGGATCCAGCCCCCAACGCTCAGGGCTCTCCCCCAGCATTGGGAAGCCCGTGGTGCTGGCATTTCAGCACACACCCCTCCCACCCTGGCATCTCCCCATGGGCTGGAGCACACAAAAATCTGCTAGCTTGGCTCTCCCCCTCCCCTGCCCAGCCCTGGTTTGTGAGAGGAATATGAGGAGTGTCTTTCTCCTTCTCAGTCAGGGGCCATGTCAGTGTGAGTTTGTGCGTGTGTGTTTGTTTGTTTTTCCATTTGACTTGCGTGCAGCCTCTGACTGATTTTTCTGTGAGACACCCTAAAAAAGGTTCCCCACCTCTGAAGCAACTGGTTCTGGCTGTTGTTGGACACACAACACTGGGTTAAAAGGATCTTAGTGCTGATCCAAGCTGATGATTCTTGTGCTCACAATATTGTATCTCTTGGCTGCACTGGATTTTCCATTTCCATGCAAGGTGCCTGTTGGATCTTTGTCCCATTCTGATGCTGGAACCAAGTAAGAGGCTTATGGTTCTATGACTGGTTAGTCCTTCAGCTTAAGACATTTGTGTTTTTAGATCAAGAGGTCCTGGGTTTGGTCCCCTTCTATGACCCTTCTAGAAGCCATGACATGAGAGAAACCCTGAATTTATCTCACTGTGCTTTCTTTAGGCAAAGGACTAGGGAAGCGAGAGAACGGCATCTCTGAAGCCATCAAGGTGAAAGTGAAATGCGACACAGCTGGGGTAAGGAAGACCTGCTTTGAACAAACAAAACTATCAGCACACTTAGGCCTAGTTTATACTAACCCCCACTGTTGACCTAATCCACATCACTTCAGCTACGGAAATACTATAGCTGAAGTCGATGTACTTACCATGGTGGCTTGTATGATCGGCGGGAGCTGCTCTCCTGTCAGTGCTGGCTACTCTTCTCATCTTGGTGGAGTACTGGCATCAACGGGAGAGCACTCAGAGATTGATTTATCGTGTCTAAGCAGATGTGATAAATCAATGGCTGGTGAATCAATCTTTGCAGCATGGATCCCCTGGGGACATAGTGGAAACAAATCCTTAGGCTGTGTAGTGCTACACCCACTTCGGCATATACATAGGGGAGTGCTCTGGGGCCTGGATGATTCAGGGGCCTGCGACAAGTCATAGACCCCTAAGTTATTGGTGTAGATGACACGTTTATCTTACTTTTCTCCCTTTTCAGACCTTTGTGAGTGGCAGGGGGGAGATTGAGGGTGAGGAAGGCCCCCTCTGGGCCCTCTTTATTCCTGTCTTTCAATGGCTCTTGTGTGGTCCCAGATGGGCAAGAGAGAATCGGCTGCTCCTTCTCTCCCACCTTCTCTCCCAGAGCCGCTCCCTCAGCCCCTGCTAGACCAACAGATGAGGTTGGCTTTAAACTGGCTTCCCCCTTGGCTGAGCCGTCCCTGCCCAGGGTGTTCCCTGTCACACGCCTTCGGACCAAGATCCTTGAACATCCCACGCTTGCAAAAGCTCTTTGCTTTGTAAATAAAGCAAGACCCAGAGCCTGGCTGGGTTGGGAAAGATCCCGACAGCCGTGAGCAGCTCTTTTGGATCAGCAGATCCCAGGGGCAGGGCCATTTTAACCCTTTCTCTTCCAACCCAGGTGGGTCACGTCCCCTCTGAGCAGTTCACGTTCCATTGGTGGGATCACCTCTTCAACAAGTCAGCTGCGAATATCTCTGTGGAGGCTGGGCAGGTAAAGGGGGAGATTGGGGGATCTGGGAAGTCTGGACGCCGTGATCCAAAGGCTGAGTGCTAGATTGGATTGGCTAAGAGCAGCCGACACTAAGCTAGAGACGTGGCTGTATGGGAGACACCCTCCCGGGACAAAGCCAGACTCTGTTTGCTTCTCTATAAGCACTTTGGGCATTTTCCCTGGCCAAAACTGTAGCGAATAGAGCTCCTGGAACTCGCTGATTAGTGTGTGTCTCCCTCTGTGCCCAGGCCTCTGGCATTGTGTGTCTGCTACAGCCCCTGGCTGGAAACTGTGGCTCCTGGGAGCTCAGTGATTTTTGCTTGGGAGATCCCTGAGTCAGGCCTGGTGATGGCTGTCATGTAAGTTCTTAAGGACCGTGCATCATGGCCTTATCTTAAGGCCTGATCTGATGAGATGCTGGGCTTTACAAAGGGGAATCAGTACCATCTAGGGATGTTAAAATACATTTGTGTAAACGTGTAACTTTTTTTTTAAGTGGTTACATGTTTGCACGCAGGAGGGCCGGCTGGAGAAAGCCGACTCCAGCTCCCACTTGCCCCCCCTTTTCACTCCCACACTGCTGCCTCTCTGTCAGCATGGGGGGGACAGGCAGCCCCACGGGAGCCAGTGCTTATAAGGAGCCGGCTCTTAAGCCAGCTTCCCCCAAGCACCACCTCACACCTGGTCCCCCACCTCCCGCACTGCTGCCTCTGTGGGAGGCAGTGAGTGGGAGGGAGGTGGCTTCATGGGAGCCAGTGCGTGCAGGGAATTGGCTGCAAATACCAGCCCCCCCCCCACTCACACGCCACCTCTGTGGAAGACAGCAGCACAGGGCGGCCTGACATCATGTGCTAGGGATGTTAAATATAATTTAATCGACTAGCTGATGGGTTTTCCATCGACTAGTCGATAAGCAGGGAGTGGCAGCGGCTTTAGCTCCTGGTCCCGGCAGTTAACCCTGCTGTGGCTTTGCCTTTTAAATGTATTAAGAGCCCTAAGGCTGTTATTACATATAAAGGGCTAAAGCGCAGCAGGGGGGACCTGGCTCTTAATACATTTAAAAAGCAGAGTTACAGCATCTGGGACTGGGTGCGAGTCGGGAATCAGCTGATCCCCGGCTCGCACCCAGTTCCCACTACCCCCCTGTGGAGACGGTGCTGGGGGATGTGGCTTTTAAGCTGACTCCCCCCAGCACCTGCTCCTTGCTGCCTCAAGGAGGGCAAGGGAGAGGGAAGCAACTAGTTGAGAAACTAATCAACTATCCGATAAGCTTTTGCTTGTCGGATAGTTGACTAGTCGCTTACATCCCTGTGATGCACAGGGAGCCAGCTTAAAAGCTGGCTCTTCACATGCTCTGGCTCCCACCTCTCCCTCTCCCCCCCCCATTGCTGCCTCTGATAAAGGGGGGGTGGATTGTAACCATGAGAATTAACCATGTTCATGGGTACACTTAAGGCTGGAGAAACTGAGGCGCTGTGACTTGTCCATCACGGTAGAGTAGAACCCAGGCGCCCTAAGGATTCTATTCCCCGAACCGTAACCACAAGCCCATCGTTGGACCAGTGATCAGGCAAAACATTAGAGTGGATCATTTGTTTCCTTTTTGCACTGGCCCAAGGATCTCAGTGGAAAGGAGCTGGGCTAGTGTGGCAGGACACCGGCTTTCTCTTTTTTGCCGCGGCGGCTATATTTTTCCCTCTGGGAAACTGAGGCAGGCAGTCTCTAAAAGAGAGCTGAGGATCCTGACCCCCTTGGTTAAGCGATTGAACGCCCTCCTTTGCCGTGATGCTAACAGAAAAACTCAACAACCGTTAGGCAGCTGGTGCACAGAAAGCACGATCCGTCTTACTGAGCAATATTGTCTCATCATCTCCTTGCTCCCCCCCCCCCCCATCTGTCTGTATCCATCTGTCATCTCCTAGATTGGAAGCTCTTTGGGCTGAAAAACGATCTCTTTGTTCTGTGTTTGAACAGCACCTACCACCATGGACTCCAAAGCACGACTGCCATACAGATACAAATACAACACCTGTCTGGAATGACCCGATTATTACATGTGGTATTACTATTGGGTTTAAAACAAACTGAAGGCAGTATTTCTTCACACAAGGCACAGTCAACCTGTGGAACTCCTTGCTAGAGGATGTTGTGAAGGCCAGGACTATAACAGGGTGCAAAAAAGAGCTAGATGAATTCATGGAGGGTAGGTCCATCGATGGATATTAGCCCGGATGGGCAGGGGTGGTGTCCCAAGCCTCTGTTTGTCAGAACCTGGGCGACAGGGGGTGGATCACTTGATGATTCTTTTCATATGTATTCATTTTTTTATTGTATCCTTTGGTATATATGGTCATGCCAATTTCTTCCACTATTTGATCTGAGGAAGTGGGTCTGGCCCACGAAAGCTCATCACCTAATAAACCATCTTGTTAGTCTTTAAAATGCTACATAGTCCTGTATTTTGTTTCAGCTACACCAGACTAACACGGCTACGTTTCTATTACTAGGAAACTGGGCTTGATGGATCTTTGATCTGACCCAGTCTGGCCATTCTTATGTTCGTGGTCCTGCCTTGAGAGCATGGGATGGGACTAGATTACCTTTTTGGTCCCTTGCAGTCCTATACTTCTATGGTTCTATGATTAATAGCCTCAGTGTGTGATCTGGAGTAAGGATGTAAGAGACCAGTCGACTCTCCGATAAGCATAAGCTTATCCAATAGTAAAGTAGTGACTCGACTAGTCACTTCCCTCCTTGCTGCCTCTGTCAGAGGCTGCAAACTGGGAGAGTAGGAGCCGGTGCGGAGGGACCCAGTTTAAAAGTTGGTTGCCCCAGCACTGTCTCCCTAGGAGACAGGGGAGGTAGAGGCGTAGTGGGGGACCGGGTGCGAGCCAGGAATCCTGGCTTGTGCCCAGTCCCAGATGCCGCACTTCTGCTTTTTAAATGTATTAAGAGCCAATAGTGGGCAGGGGATCCAGATGTGAGCTGGGAATCAGCTGTCCCGGCCCACACTTGGTCTCCCCTGCTGCACTTTAGCCTTTCAAATGAATTAAGAGCCTGCAGGCTCTTCATATATTTAAAAGGCTGAGCTGCAGCGGGGTTAGCGCCTGGGATCAGGAGCTAACCCCGCTGCGGCTCCGCAGTTTCCCCTGCTTATCGACCAGTTGATGAAACACCATTTAACATCCCTAATATGGAGCAGGATTATTAAATTAACTAGCAGCCTTTTGTGAGGCCTGGCTGATCCCATAATATCTGTTTAAATCTCTCTCCCAGGATGGTGTCCAAATGAAAAAGCTCTCTGAGCAGGACGGGGAAATCAGCAACAAGAAACCCCGTAAAGCTCCCAGTGCCACGAGTATGTTGTACGGCCGCTTTGTGAAGGTAACTGGGCGCATGGGTCTGCGTTTGTGATTCCCCTTCGCTGCAGACGGTCTCGTGTGCTGTCGGCCGTACCTTCGTGCCTTTCTCTACCACCGTGTGTCCTGAAAGTTCCCGCTGTGCTCTGGAAAGAACACTCCTGCAGCAGCCACTCTTTGGGGCGGAACAAGTCAATTCTTTGACCGTGTGTAGCTGTGCCGTGCAAGGATTGCCCAGCCAATGCTAACATGCAGCCACCTCTGGGGTGGAACGTGGTAGCTGGGCAGCATATAAGGATGCAGCCGAGGGTTTGTGCTGAAATAAAACAGGGCAGTGGCTGCATGCAGGGATCATGCCTCCCGGGCTGAAATGAAACATCCCATCTTTACTTAAAAATTGCCGGTGATGGAGAATCCACCACAACAAGGAACTTCAGCAGGTAACCTGTTACCCAGTAAGCATCAGCCTTAATGGGTGATGCTTATCGGATAACAGTTAATGGCCCAGACTCCCATGTGGGGCTGTCAGCTCCCATTCCCCACGGGACCAGAAGCAGCTGGGCTGGAACCTGCCCCGTTTAATCAGTTAACTGGTTAAACTTAAGGTTTGACCGGCGAACTAATTAAACAGGATTTTACATCCCTACTCATGGCCCTGGCTACATATTTCCAGAGGTCAGTTACTCTCCCCATTCAAAACGTCCCCCTTGTTTCCTATCCAAACGTGTCTAGCTGCAGCTGCCAGGCACTGGCCCCGGGACTTTCCTCTGTGCTAGGGAAGAATGCGTCCCTCGTGTAGCCCCATATCGCCTCTGCAAAGTCACCCCTTGTCTGTGTTACACTGGGTAGATAGAGCTGCTCAAGTCTTCCGCTGTAGGGCAGGTTTTCTAATCCCTTGTCTCATTCTCCTGGCCCTTCTCTGAACCCACTCCGAGTTCTTGCCACCCTTCCTGAATTGTGGATAAACGTGGGATGGGGAAACTGAGACACGGAGAAGGCCCATCCACTTGTCCATGGCCACCCAGAGAGGCAGAGGTGGGGATAGAAATGCGGAGTCTTGACTTAGTCCAGAGAGGTAGAACGGTAGGCTGGACAAACGCAGGAGTGGGGAACCTAACGCCCAGGGGCCAGATGGGGTCCCTGGCTTGCCTGGAACCGGCCCCTGAAGCTCCGGGCCTTCCCCCCCCAGAATTGGGGGCCTGCGCTGGCACTCCAGTCCCCACTGCCTCCTGTCCGACTGATTTCTCTGTGTCAGCGGCCCCCAACCCAAAAAAGGTTTCCCACCGATGGACTAACGCCTGCCCTGCCCCATAGTAGCTTGCCCTAGACCTACAGCATAGACCATGGGGTGGGTGGGAGGTGTCTCCAGTGCCCAGAGGTTGTTGACTGCGCCTGTCTCCGTCTCAGGCAGCTACGCTGACGGCAGGAGGGGAGGAGCCAACAAAGCAGGTTTCCACGTCTGAGAGCAGCGAGGACGAGGAGGAGAAATTGGACATGTCGACGGTTAGGAAGTGAGTGCCCAGTCGGGCGGGGCCGGGGGAGTGAGTGGCTTTTCTGACCCGCTGGGCTGGCCCACATGCTCAAGGCCCCGGCCACAGAACACATGTTGGCTCAGCGGGTCAGATCCTGCGTGAACAAACTGAACTCAAAGAGGTTGGGGGATGGAGCATCCTCCTCTGTGACCTGATTCTGCAGTAGCCCCTGGGGCTAGTTCTCCATTGTCTTAGAGCTGTTGTCATCCCCACAGTCTGACCCCTGCTGTGCAGTTCTCCCTGTCCGGCGTGTTAGTGGGGCAGGCTTCCTGCTGGGTCGCCCTTCCTATCCCGGAGGGCTCAGTTTGCCCAGGGACTAAACCATTCTTCCAGGGGAGTGGAGGACTTGGCTTCTCGGTGGCACCCTAGGAGCCAAACGGACAGTTCTCCCCTCCGTGCTGGGACTGGCAAGGATGGTGAGGCTGTCCCTTTCTGCCTAGGGCAGGCATGTCCAAAGTCCGGCCCGCGGGCCAAATGCGGCCCGCGGTCGGATTTAATACGGCCCCCCGCTTCTCCCGGCTCCCCGGTGCTTTTTTTAACTGGCGCGCTCAGCGCGCCGCTTCGGGCC